CATGTGGAAAACTTGGTAAAGAAACTGAAAGTTAAACTGGGTTTCTTTTTCAGAAACAGATCCTGTCTAACCCTGAATGCTAGGAAACGCCTTGTATCTGTGACTTTCCTTCCCTCCATTGATTATGGTGACATTATTTACATGAACGCTCCTACAAGAACCCTGCAGATGTTGGATGCTGTCTATCATGGTGCACTAAGATTCATAACTGGCTGTGATTATCGTACCCACCACTGCACCCAGTATTCACTGGTTAACTGGACATAATTAACTTCACGCAGACTCTCTCACTGGTACATTTTCATTTTTAAATCACTTCTTGGTCTGTTGCCTTCATACATCTCCTCCTTCATGTCTCTTCGTGAGTGCAGCTACAGCGTGCGCTCTCATGACATTATTACCTGCAGTGTTCTGTTAAAGACGGGAGCTGGCTGCAGGCCACCGAATCCGGAAACCCCCTCCAGCCCACGTCCTTACTCTGTCTCGAACCTTCCTCAGAAGTGGCAACTATACTAATCAATAAATCAAGGAAACCTCAATTAAATTTTATCAAATTATATTAGAAAAGGCAGTAAAAGATTACAATTCACAGCGCTGGACTCTACAGTCTGTGATGCCACAGACCCAGAAGAAGAGCCTCGATGTCCTGTGTCATCACTAATTTATAGGGCCCTAAAAACTCCACCTTCACAGAAGGGGAGCTCAACCTGTCAGTGTATGAGGGGGCGTGGCTAAGTGTGATCTCAGGGATCTTATGTGGAGTGACGTGTTAGGAAGTATGAGACGGTGCTCCAAAGCCTTTCTACGTGATGTGGCAAGCAGATCAAACTCTATTCCGTGACAGATATTGAATCATCAGGGAGACTCTCTTAAGAGTTTGCTGGCCCAGTTTAACCCAGTCAGAACCGTGTCATAATTTCATTATAATCCCGTCTCTGGGCAGATCAAAACCATAAGACCAGTCTAAATAAGAAATATCGTAACAGTTCCCTCAGTGAGGACTGAATTTGGCAAAAGGGCCTTCTCCTACTCCGCTCCTGGTTCCTGGAATATCTTACAAAAAGATTTGAAGCTCTCGACCTTGACCTCTCTACGTGGCTTTAAGAATCTGTTGGACTCCTGGCAGGGACCAATGCAGACGTTCCTGTTTTTAGTTTTATACATTTGCCTTTTTTTTTAGCAGTTTTTTTGTTAATTTTTTTTAGCCATCCTATTTGTTAAAAAACAACAACAACAAAAAAAAAACAATTGTATGACTTTTTATAACTGTTTATTGTTGTCGCTGTTGTCCATTGTTGTCATCATTCTTTGTTGAAATCAGGTCTCTCTTGTAAATGAGTCCTCAAGGCTCAAAGGGATTTACCTGTCTAAATAAAGGATGAATGAAAAAGTGGTATGAGGTGGAATACACAGGGTCTCAGTTACATCAAACAAAAATACAAATTGTAAAGAAAAACAGTAATAGGATCTAAGATATGAACTAAGAAATACGCTAAACTAAAAATACACTAAGCACAAATAGTACAAAACAATGCGCCAAACAACAGCAGCATGAACATGAGTCTGTGTGAGCAGATGAGGACGAATAAACACAGCAGCATGAAATAGATCAACAACATGAGATCAGCATCATGGATAGTCCCTTTAGTAAGGGTCTGTAATGACATTCTGCAAGCAAATGACTCTGGTCAGTCTGTGATCCTGGTACTCCTTGACCTTACCGCTGCATTCGACACTGTTGATCACAGCATCCTTATGTCACAGCTAGAACACTGGGTTGGGATTACAGGGGTGGCGCTAGAATGGTTTCGTTCGTATCTGAGTGACAGGAGTTTTTGTGTTAACTTTGGCAATCATTT